TTCACATTTGTCATTCGTGAGTCTCATACCTATGTTTGGTTTCCACCGCTTCTGGTTAGTTACCTATGTGAATTGTGTGTTCATATCTATTTTGTGATTTTGGTCATGTTTGATTAGTTATCCTGTGGACTGTATGTCCATTTCTATTATCTTTTTGCTTTTACATGAGTTTTGTTCACAAGAATTGGCTTTGGCTTTCTACCAGCCATTTCATGTGTGAGAGCATAATGGTTTCATACAAGTTTTGTCACACAGATTTGACCTTAACTTTCTGTAAGTATTTTCATGCATGATGACAAGTTGTCCGCATGCAAGATTTGCCACACAAAACTTATGATAGTTTTATATAAGCTAAACAACGCGTGAGAGCTGCAGGTTTGCATGTGAGTTTTTGCACATAGAATTAACTACGTATATATGTGCAAAATCACATGTGAGAGACCATGAGGTTCACGCCTCATTTATCACATACACATATCTAGAACATGTTGAGTGCAATTTCATGTGTGATTTTGTAGGTTACTCGCAAGAAATTACACCAACGTCTAGAAACACTGTTCCAATAGTCTAACAACTATCAAAACTATATATGTGATACAATTCAAGTCTGAACAAGAACTTTTAATTCTTGAACAAACTTATCTTTATCTGAGCATTCAAAAAACTTTCAAATTGTGCTTAAATATCTTGTATTCACTCATCATTCTTAAAAAGAATTGTGAAAAAACTCTCACAAGTTTATAAACTTTCAACTATAATTTATCTACTCTTTAGGAGAGTTTCTTTGTAAAAGTTTATTTCATTCTTCTAAAATCTTGAAAAGGTATTTTTCAAGCGTCTGTAATAACTTGCTAAATTGTGGCAATGTTTGTTAGTTAATTCAAGGCAAGTTAAGTCTTGTGAATTGTACTGTGGTGGCAAGCACCCATTAAAGCTTGCGTATTTAGTTGAAAATCTCAAGTATGATCTTAAAAACTAGACATAGGCCAAGTTTAGGGTCGAACCAATATAAATTTTGTGTGTCTCATCTTTTTCCTTCTTACTAAAGTATTTTACTCTTTAAGCTTTTCAAAAAATATTAAGTGTCACCCAGTTCACCTCCTTTAGGTGCTACTTTATCCTACAGCCTATCCTTTAGGGTAGATCTAAAGCAGAAGCACTTGCTTATGTGAGAGATAAGGTTGGTAAGAAAATTCAAGCATAGAGAAGCAAGCATCTCTTCTTTGCTGGTTAAGAGATAATGATAAGAGCTGTCGTTAATGCTATTCATGTCTACCCGATGCTCTGTTTTAAATTTCCAAAAAGAACATGCAAAGAACTTGATAGCATGGTAGCTAATTTCTTTTAGGGTCAATCTAATGATAGAAGCAACATTCACGAGAAGGCTTGGTCTAAGCTTTGTAATGCCAAGAATGATGAATGCCTTGGTTTTGGGACTTCACGGACTTTAATAATGCTTCTATGTTGGACTTTGGAGAATGGCCAAATTTTGGATTGGACTTTCAACCTCCCAAAAAACCTTATGCAGCACACTTGTACTCGGTCTCTCACTCTATCACTCGTAGACCAGTGATAGAGTTAGAAATAATATTTTATTTGTGGATGATGATGAGGAAGACCTTGATTAGCATTGATGATGACTTTTGTCTTTATCTTATTTGAACTTCTAAATCTTGAGTTTATTTTTTAAATTATGTGAGACTTTAGTTTGATGTATCTTAAATTTTAGAATAATCTAAGTAAATTAAAATGTTAAATTTTATTTTATTTTCTTCTATAAACAGGCTTATGGGCTCGGCCCTGAGCCCTTTGAACAAGGGTCGAGCCTCAACTTTTGGGTGAAATTGGGGTAATCGGGCTTTTGGGTTTAAGCCCATAAGGGTTGAGCCCATATAGGATAGGCCCGCCTGTTTCTCAACTCTACATAGAGCCATGCATATAAAAGAATTTCCACTAAGCCAGTAACATCTCATTTAAATTTTTTTTCAAAATAATAAATTTTTTAGAGGTAGGAACTGGGCCACTAAGAGCATTTTCATATAGTCCTGACATTTTCAATTGAGAGATGTTGGATAATGAAGATGGAATTTTTCCAGTCATCAAGTTGTGTCCAACATTAAATTCTTGAAGATTAGGTAAAGCAAGGTCTAAATTTGATGGAATGGTTCCAGACAAGAGATTGTAAGGAATATCCAAATATTCCATGAGGGAATGATTATAAAGTGAAGAAGGAATTTTACCAGAAAAGTTGCGATTACCAAAATAGAGTATACGTAAATTTGACAATCCATCTGGAGATTGAGGTATACTCCCTTCCAAATTATTATTCGCAAGAGACAAGCAATGCAATGACGAAAGATTTCCCTAGGAAATTGGAACAGTACCAACAAATTTATTACAAAAAAGATTCAACTGTGTAAGTTGATGCATAGTTCCAAGCCAGAAGGGAATTTTGCCAATCAAATAATTAGATTGTAAGTGAATTTTTTGGAGCTTAAAACAATTAGCAAGCTCTATAGGGATCTCTCCCTCAAGATAATTAAGCCTCAAATCGAGAAAATATAGCCTTTTAAGACAACCAATTTGTTTCAAAAGCTCACCATGCAATTTATTATTTGACAGATTAAGAAGTTTAAGAAAGGTTAAATTACCTAATACTGGTGCAAGAGTGCCACCCAAATTTTGATTTGCCAAAGACAAAGCAGAGACTCTCTTATGATGGAGACTACACAAAATTCCTTGCCATTCACAAAAGTGAACAGAATCATTCCATGAAGGCAAAACTTTTAGGAAGCCATTGGTGAGCTTATCCTTCAGAGCAAGCAAAGCAAGTCTATCAGTCTCTGGTCCAGTGGCCTTGGCAACTCTAGTACTAGGTGACATGGTTTGAGAAACCATGAATAATGGAAAAATGATGATAACAACGGAGGACATCATATTCATATTAATTTGGTGATGATGGTGAAGGAATTTGCAAAATGAAGTCACAGCATTATTATGAAAAGCTGGATCAACATGCGATGTTATATTTGTATTCATTGTATAAATTGATGGCTAAACCTGATTTCGCCACGTCATCAATATATAAAAACTCGGTTTCATTGTGGATTGATTCAGCATATTGAACGATCATTTAAGTTGCACCGTTGATGGACTTGGAATTTTGGTGGGAAGACTGGACAAAAGTTCTGCTATTAAAGTCATTAATTGAATAAAGTCACATTTACGCCAGAGTTCGGTATGCTACAACAAGAATTAGTCAATTTTGATAGTCTTCCACTAAATACTAATATTCAATCATACCTCAAATATGATTGCCTTCAATAAGAAGATATATGTACGCAATAAAAAAAATTACTTTACAAAAACAATTGACTAAGAAAATAATACATGAACATGATTATTTAATTTGACAAAACAAGCAAGAGTTTAATGTGACTTATGCAGCATAAGTAGATAAATTCCTTTCCTAAGCAAATCAAGCCAAATTGTCAAAATTATGAGTTTAAGTAAACTCGTACTGGAGACATAAACTAGCAATGTAAACTAAATATAATTTAAAATTTATATTCACATAATTGAAATTCAAAATATAACAATGATTTTAATTAGCACCATTCAAAAAAAATTATAATATTTAAAATACAAAATATTAACTAAAGTCATATATTAATTTATTGAATATGATAAAATTTAGAAAAAGTATTGATATTCCATATTTCGAAATACATGTCATTGAAATTTCAAATACTTCATGAATAATTTATTTAATTTAATTTTTAATAAAACATATTTATTTGAGGCCTTGATAATAACAGCCCCACACAATATTGGTTTGGATTAGTTTGGACATGGAGTGGTAATACTCCCAAGTTTCTCATGTTATCCAACATTGGAATAAAAAAAACATATTTATTTTTATATCTTTTTTTAGTATTATATTAGAAATTTATATCCTTTGTCAACATTTCTTATCGAATAGTGACCCATTATATTTTATATTGCTTGGATTATTTACTTATTCAGTTGTAAAGCGCCGAAATTGCCTATGAACACTATATATATAATCGCTTGCTTGGTGAGATGGTGCAAATGGTTGTGAGACTAGAGTTTTAATCCTCTCACTCTCACTGTACGGGGTCTTGTCAACGTCAGCATGAGTAAACTAAATCCATAAAGGATTTGGATTCGGTCATTGGTCCAAGTACACTCATTTAATGAGTTTATGCGTTTTTATTGAGTCTATGTGAGTTGGAAGTGATTTTGTTCGAGTCAGTAAGAAGTGCCGAGTTTGTAAAGCAAGCTGACAGCCACAAATTGCTGAGTTAAAAAGGTGAACTCGCCAAGTCAACTGAATTAACTTGTGAGTTTGATAACAGTGAAATCAAGTTATCGAGCAACGAAATACTCAATCATCTATGATTTACTGTAATAAAATCGAGCTTATTCTTCCCGAGCAAGGCTAAGGGATATAGATAAAATTGGGTGTTTGATGCCAAACAAAAAGGCACTGGTCGAGACAGGAGGAATGTTGACCCAGGAACGGCGTCGTATATGGAAAGAAAACGTCTTTATTCATGAAGAAACCAGAAGCAGATGATGTTCAAGAAGAAAACAGAAGCATCGCGCGGTCACAAAAGAAACCTGAATTGCAACCAAGAATACAAGAAATCACTAGGCCCCGTATATGCAATACAATATTAATCATACAATATTCATAATGCTTATCACAACTGTTATATGTAATTTTTATTATTTAATCATACAAAATTTTAGAATTTTGTCTGTGTTATTATTATTTAAAAAATGGACGTGTTAGGATTTGATTGAAGAATTTGACCTAATGGACATATAAGTAAATATAACCAAGTTTCGTCTATCCAAAAACGTTACTAAAATTTGCATAAGTGGCCAATATATAGCAGCTGAAGTGGCAGTTAATGGAAACTTATGCTTATTCATGAAAGAAATTATGATAGGAGAAACAAACAAACTCATCATCAGCAAAAGTATATCAAATGTCCATATGAATAAAACTATTCAATCTTTATCAACCCAAGAAGCAACACTCAACATAAAACAAAAAGTTGAAATATGTAAATATTTTTTCCCAAAAAAAGGAATACGTAAATAGTTACATTAAAAAGCTAGCTAAAACAAAGCTTGCTATTGCTTACAACTACTAAATATGCCAACTCCATATAGAGAAGAACCATCACAAGACCCATGTCAAAAGAGCCATGCAGCTAACGATCATATGGCAATGTTAAAAGTGGACAGCTTTTGCTTAATTGTAAGCAACTCTGCTAAAGCATCTTTTATGCCTATTCGTTGACCAGGAAATTTTTCACAACATGCAACTCCAATCTTGGCAAAGCTTGCAAAGAACTCTTGTATGTTACGTTCCATATCTGAATTTTGCATAATCTTCTTGTGGTCTCTATCAGATAGAACAAGCAAACTTGAATCCACTATCTCAAGGACTCCATCTGGCAATGCTAACTTGCAATATTTAGATAGGCTTAGATCACCACTAAACATGTTATCTGTTGGCTTCTTCCCAGTGAGCATCTCTAACAAGAGAACCCCGTAACTAAAGATATCTCCTTGTGTTGTAACTTGGCCACTTTCTCCGTACTCTAACCAAACATTAATTTTTTTAGGGAATAAAAAAAGCCAATACACTCAAGGTTATTCTTAGGAAATATTTGACCTATTTACATAATAGTTTTTACTACTATTAACTTTTGGTTACTTAAAAAAAAACTAATTATTTAAAAAACACAAAATCAACAAAAATAAAGAGTCATACCTGGGGGAATATACCCAATAGTTCCTTTAATTGCTGAGGATGTAGTTTGACCTTCACTAGAATAGCTTGCAGCCTCATGAAAAAGCCTAGCTAATCCAAAGTCTCCTAAGTGTGCCACCATATCATCATCAAGAAGAACATTACTTGGCTTGATGTCACAATGAACAATAACTTCCTCAAAATCATGATGAATATAATCCAAAGCATGAGCCACATCAACTGCTATATCTAATCTTTGTGCGAAATTGAGATTCCTCGGTTCACCCCATTCATTTGTTGACAACCAATTCTCCAAGCTCTCATTAGACATGAACTCAAAAACAAGGGCCTTAAAACTATTGCCTTTGTAGTCAATACTTGAACATGATGTTAGAATCTTTAAAAGATTCCTATGCCGAACTTTACTAAGAGTTTTGCATTCTGTGATGAAACTCTTGGATGCCCCATGTGCTTCAAGATTTAGTACCTTTACAGCAATAGGTCTTTCAAAGTGTTGGAGAGTTCCTTTGTATACAGAACCAAAACTTCCTACACCAACCAAATTGGATGAAGAGAATCCATTGGTTGCATCATGTAGCTCCTTATAAGAAACCCTCAAATGGATATTCTGTGGAGAAGATGGGGAAGAAGACAACTTTTTATATTTTCTTCTCATGCAAATGATGACTAGGCACATTGCAAAACAAGCAAGAACACCACTTGTCACGATGATAAGGATTTTTACTTTGAAATGCTCCTTCTTCTTCTTTGGGCATTTAGGTAGCTTGAGTTGAGGTATTCCACCACAAAGATGCCCATTTCCTGTGAGTGAAATAGCTGTGACATTATCAAACACTCCTCCTTTTGGAACCTCGCCAAAGAAATGGTTGTGAGATAGGTTCAAAGTCTTCAATATTGAAAGACCATTTAATTCTTGTGGGATTTTTCCTGACAAGTTATTGTTGGAAAGGTCTAAGCTGATCAGAGATTTTAAGGAACTAAATGATGAGGGGATACTTCCATGAAGGAAGTTATTACTCATATCAAGATTTGTCAACTGCAAGCATCCCCCAAGTTCCATTGGAATGTCACTAAAAAAATTGTTTTGACTCAATTTCAATTTCACTAGTTGTTTCATGTTACCAATCTGAAATGGAATTGGACCAGTCAAGGAATTGGAAGACATGTCAAGATATAATAAGCTTTCTAGAGGACCAAAAGTTTGATTTGGTATATTACCACTCAAGTTATTTTGATTCAGGTACAAGGATTGCATACCTTTACAATGTTTGATGCTTATTGGAATGGTTCCCTCAAAATTGTTATTAAACAATTCTAAATCTAACAACTTAGTAAGATTTCCAAAGAAATCAGGAATTCTTCCACATAATTGATTGTCTCCTAAGGCAAGCTTTCCAAGCTCTCCAAGCTTTCCAATTGAATGTGGGATTGTGCCTTGAAGAAAGTTATGTTCCAAAACAAGATAAGTTAAGCCATCAAGTTGCCCAATCTCATTAGGTATGCTTCCAAAGATATGATTGAATCCCATACTGAGCGAATCAAGCTGGGAAGAGAGATTCCCAATTGAATTTGGCAATACACCTCTAAATTTATTATCTAACATCTCTATCAAATTCAATTGACTACAATTTGTTAATGATGAGAGGAAATCCAGGTCATGACCTTCATCACTCCCAAAATTATTTGCATCAATTTCAAATTTACGAAGGTTCTGCAATCTCCCAAAACTGGTAGGGACTAGGCCACTAAAAGCATTTTCATATATTGCAAATAACTGCAATTGAGAGATGTTGGATAATGAAATTGGGATAGTTCCCCTCAACAAGTTGTGTCCAACATTAAAATATCGAAGATTTGGGAAAGCAATGTCTATATTCAAAGGAATAGCTCCAGACAAATAGTTGAAAGGCAAGTCAAAATAGTCCATCCGAGAAAGATTATAAAGTGAAGGAGGAATTATGCCAAAAAAATTGTTATGAGATAGAAAGAGTGATTTCAAATTAGACAACCTACCAAGAGATTGAGGTAAATGACCTTCTAGATTATTATACGCTAGAGCTAAGGTTTCCAATGACGAAAGATTTCCCAAGGAAGGTGGAACAGGACCAGCAAATTCATTACGATTGAGAGCCAATACTTCAAGTTGATGCATATACCCAAACCCAAAGGGAATTTTTCCTGTCAAATTATTATGATTAAGAAAAATCTCTTGGAGTTGAGAACAATTAGCCAAGCTTTCAGGAATTTCTCCCTTGAGATAGTTTTGGTACAAATTGAGAAATTGCAACCGTTTAAGACGGCCAATTTGTTCGGGAATTTCACCATGCAATCCATTAGAGGAAAGATTGAGGAGTTTAAGAAAAGTTAAATTACCTAAGACTGGGGCAAGAGTCCCACCCAAATCTTGATTTGTCAAATGCAATGCTAAGACTCTCATGTGACGGAGACTGCATGAAACTCCTTGCCATTTACAGAAGTGAACAGAATCATTCCATGAAGGTAGAGCTTCTGGAATGCCATTGGTCAGCTTATCCTTTAAAGCAAGCAAAGCAAGCCTATCAGCCTCTGACCCAGTGGCCATGGCAGCTCTAGTTGGCAAAAGAATTTGAGAAGCCATGCATAGAAGAAAATTGATGATAATAATGTAGGGGATCATTTTGGAGGTTGTGAAGGAATTTGCAGAATGAAGACAACACATGCTGAGAATTGGACTTGTGTTAACTTCATATTAATTGTGGGCGTTGATAACTAAACCTCAGTCTCCATTGACGGCTGCCCAATTTTCAATATGTAACTATTACTATATTATGAAAATTTATGATTAAATATTTACAATTTAAATAATTTATATTTGGCCCTTGTTAGTTGTTATCATATTTATTCTACGTTTGAGTAAATTTTCATTTTATTACCTATATCGATCTGTAATATTCTACAATTACTTATATAAAATAGTTTTTTAAACAAACTACTTATATAAATAGGTTAATAAATATTAACAAAATGTTAATAAGTGTCATATACTTAAATTCTTGCTTCTATTTAAATCATATAGATCTTTTATATATTATTTAGTATATAAAAAACACTTGCAATTAATATTATTAACACATTAAAATTCACTTGTCTTGTTTTAATTGAATAGAAATACATTAAGTATAGGTGCCTATATAAATCTAAACACTTATGAATATAATAACAAATTAGTTTTATATTTTTCAATCATACATATAAAATTAGAAATTAATAAAGTTGAAGAGATCAAAAGTATAGTTTTTTTAAATAAATAATACTAGTTTTATGAACATACACAGACGTCTATCCAGAATAATGTTTGTTTATCTTATTCATGGACCAAGTTAGAGATAAGAATGATGCCTATGTAGTCAGCCTTTAATGCGCCCAATGATTTTTAATTTTCCTGGCCGACGTACGTCTTTGTCAATGTATTAACGACTCTTACCCATGCGCTTTATGATTATGATGGGCTTGTCCCACAGGTATGAAAAAACTCAATTATTAAGATTTTATAATTTAAATTATTATTGAGTGTTTTGGCAAAAAAAAAAAAACTATTTTTGAATGTTTTGGGGCCTTAAGTGTTAAGTTGATTCTTTTACCAACTATTAAATTGATTTTTTTAGACATATATGGTTATTGTCTCTTGAATATGAAGGGTGCATGGGGCAATATTCCCTCAAAATAATTTTTCTAAAGAGCGATACTGTCCTTCCATTAAAATATATTAATTTGATTATTAGTTGATCCAACAATTAAATAAATGCACTTAGAAAATGATAGAAAAAGACTGAAAAAATGATAGAAGAGGATCTTATAAGAAAATTGATACTGATGAGCTCCCTCAAATTACAAATAAATTTCAATAGACTAATGTTATTTCTTACCTAAATAACCTACCAAAATATCATTTTAACTAATCATTTTGACTGGCTATTAGGTGATTATCAAATCACCGAAATCACCTTTCTAGAGATAATTAATTAAAAATACTCCATCTACTAAAAAATGTAAGGCATTTTCGTGTTTCAAGATGTAATTAATCTATTTTTCCAAAAGTGCCCATAATTAATAAATTATTTTATATTTACTTTAAAATGTAACATTTTATTAAATAAGGGTAAATATAAAAAGATAATTACATTAGTTTGAATATAATTAACTATTTTATTAGGGGTGAGATTTAGCTAAAACTATTTTACATTTTTTATGCTGGAGGGAGTATTAATTTTCTTAAATAACTTTTTATTAAAATATTAATACTTTAATGATTGATAATTTTGAAAGAAGACTTATAATTTATTATATTATTTTAATTTATAAATAACCTATAAATTTCAGAAAATTTTGTTGAGATGTTAATATTTAAAAGATTATTTAAAAATATTTTGGTTTTGAAAATATTTTAATCATATGATCGATCTTTCTTAGTATAAATTGCAACTAATATTGGCCATTTTGCACGTTCAAAGCTTCATGGCCAAACCTAACGAGGAGGAGCCGTCCTGGGAGAGAGGAGAGAGAGAGTGCTTTTCCGGCCGTCATCCATGACAGGACCATGAGTTCCGCTCACTTCAACGTCACTTCATTTAATTGGTCAAAAAAATTCTGACTTTATTTAAATGGGATCTTTGTTCATGTGCAGTATAGTAATTCATATTACTCCATTTTTATTTATAAAAAAATTATTATTATTATTATTTATTTATATAAACAAAATTACATATTTTAATAAGCATTTATTATACATTTTTTAAATCACTCCTCATAATTTATATTAATAAAAAATAATTAATATATGTTTATGTTGATTAACATAAGGCACTATAGTCCAATTTTTTTATTTTCAAATATAATTATTATAGTTAATCAACTTTCTTAAATTATATGATATTTTTTTTTCTCTTGTATATAAAAACGGAGGGAATATAATTTATTCATTTGAATTTATTGAATGTACTTCTTTTCTTCAAAATTATAAACTATTTTTAGATAATTTTTACCTCTAAAAATAGTTAATATTAAAAATTATTTCTTCTTTCTGTGTTTAGTCTTACTTAATAGAGTAACTTCATGACAGATAAATCATTAATTACTCATAGAAAACACCAAACAGCCTTATATATTAAAGGATATTGAAACTTTTGATCTTTAAGTTTGACTTTTTAATTTGGTCCCTAACATTTAAATTCGATCAAATAAATCCTTAAAGTTACATAACCATCCTAATTAGTCATTATGTTCTCAAGGGGAAATAACAAAATAAGCATGAGAGCGAAGTATGCCAGCCAGGAGTAACTCAGATTCAATCCGAAGGAGGGAACTTTCTTTTCAAAAAAATTTAAAAAAAAAATGCGAGAAATTCCAAAAGCAAAAATTCCCAAAAAAAAAAATGGCCGCCTTCCAATAAGTGCTAAGTTTAACTTCTTTAGCTAGATGCAGCTGCGGAGTCAAACCAACAAGGATTTTAAACCCAGAAAAAATAAAAGGAAAGGGGAAAATAACAAAGTTACATGCTTTAATTTCCATGAAAATAGTGTCAAAAACTTGATCAGCCTTGCAAGTGCATGAAATTGATGTAGTAATAAATCCTAAAATATTCTAGGAATCAAACCTAGATGAAAGCAATGAACTTTGTTATTTTAAAAAAGCAAAAAAAAGTAATTTTAAAAGGGATAACTAATTTAAATAATATGAATATGAAAAGAATGATACAAGCAATAAAAATGAAGAACCAACCAATCAAACATGCGCAAGGAATCAAGATTCACCTACCAGAGATTATTTTAATTCAATTAACTATCTTTCCTTCTTTTATAGTGACAATCATTTTTAAGGTGTCCTAATTATCTATTAGTCAATTATGATACATTTAATTAAAGTTAAATTTAGCTCTCAATAAATTCTACTATCTAACTAAACCATTAAGTTATAATTTAAGCCATAACAAATTCTTAAAATATTCCTAATTTAGTTATCTACGTCTATCTCTCTAGATCTAGGTAAGTTTTTTATTTTTTAATTCATCAAAGCACCTATAAGTAATCCATATAGCGGCCATCTATGTAAAAAGTAATTAAAATGAAAGAAAGATAAATATAAATAGAAACATTAAATCTCATATACAAGACATTAAGTTCAACGGGAAAAAAAAATAATCAAATAAAAGAACAAAATTCATCCTACTGCTTGGGAGTTTAGCAACAACTAATAAAGTCTATGCGAAACATCCCAAAAGAAAATAGAGAAAAAATAAGAAGAATAAAGAAAAGGAAAAACTCACAACTCAAAGAAACTCCTTTAAACTTCATGCTCTGTCTTCTAGCTTTCAGGTGATGTAATTGGATGCCTTTTGAAAGGGCCTTAGATCTTTGTATATACTTCTTCTCATTTTCCCTGAATAATTCCTGGGTAAATACAATCACAGGATATCTTTTGATCCTCCTTGATATGATTATGTCCGTGGTGATATCCTTGCACAATTATCCTTTGCTTAATATATATATATATATATATATATTAGTTTGCTTGCTTCTTCTTGGTATATACCTGGGTGTATTTTTTTCCTCTTTGATTTCAATTATTATTTTTCTTGCAAAATATAAAACAAATAGAAATGAGTAGATTTTGTTCAAATTTCTCTTTATCTTATAATTAAGTGATAGGAGGAAAATCTATAGAAATTAGTTAAATAGGTATAAAATAATAATAAATATAATCAAATATAGTCTAAAATATATACCTATTTATTGGTAAAATACACACTTATCACAACGACTTGAGCAATAAATAGATAAGAACTAAAAACAATTCCCTTCTTCGTTTCTCTTCCATTTAAAATTTGAACTTGAAACTTTATTTAACGGAATGAACATTAAGGCGATGGATATATATTATCAGTTGCCTATTTTGTTATGAATATATTATTAAAATTATTTTTTGATAGTTGTTATATATAAAATAGAAATATATTAATTTAATTACTGCTTATTTCATTGTCGGTCAAAATATTGAAATGAATAAAAGAAATGGGAAGACGTGTTCATAACTTACAAAGAAAATGGTTATTCAAATACATGCTTTTGAAACCTATGGGTGGTAACCTATCTCTTACAAGCACAATTAGGTTTTTCAACATGAAACTTATAATAATGCATCCTTGTTTGAGGGGAGATGTCCCCAATTCACTTGACCTCTTGCTAGCTAAAACCCTCTATCAGGAGCTTTGTTAATGATATTAGTCTTTCAATAAAAATGCAATATTACAAGTATAGATTTAAAGGTAGAGTCAATCTTAAAACACTAATTTATTAAATAGGATAACTCAAACTTATAAATTTCATTTTATTTATAAAGCTTATTAACATGAGACTCATAACATATTCTTGTGAATTGAATTTTCGCTAGCTGCCTTATGCCTAGTTTAAATTTTATTCCCTTTCACGCAATATATTTTGTCATATATGCAGAATTTTCTCTAACAAGTTGACAAGTTGCATGGCAAGCAATTCAATTTTTCTTTCCTTCTAGAGTCGGGTCACTTTCTTTCCTTTTCTTTTTTGTATAATAAGTTATGTCACTTTATCACGGACGCAATAAGTCATGTCACTTTATCACGGACGCCAACTATTATTGTCATTATCATTAATGATTAAAAATATATATAACAAATGTCACATATTTATTTTCTTATGCATTAAAAAAAATCCTC